TGTCCCCGCTTGATAATGACGTGATAAACCCAACAATGACATAGTGCTGCAGCGTTGACGTATTTGTCGACTCTTGATAGATCTAACGATAATTCCAATCGGCTTATTTCCGCATAATTGTACAACTTTAACGACGACGATAATATAAAAATGAATGGCTTGCTGTGTACAAATTATGCTGCACATTTTGTAAGGAGTAAAGTCATAAAAAAGGAAAACATCAGCATAGATTACATTGATAACAGTTTGCGTCATAACATGTCGAAAGCCTGTGAATTTATGAGGTTTCCAAGCAGACGGTCGGTCGTCTTTGGAACCCATTATATGGTTGCCAGTAGGTAATTGGAAAGGAATAAATATGTTTAGCTTTAGCTTGGGTTTCTCTCCCTCCTCTTCCTCCTCTCCCTCCTCTATCTTTTTTTTCTCTCTTCTCTCTTCTTGTTTGTCGTGCAAAGGGGTCATGTGTTCAGTTATTCCGCACTTCAATTAGGAGATGCCGAATCTATCCGCACGGACCTGACAATAACAATAACCGTTTTAATAACTGTTACGTTACAATGTCAAATTGCTATTGTCCATATCGCCTTTTTTAACCGTAAAACTGTCTATCAATTCTAAAAATTGTGACCAATAGTCAGCAGTTGGCATGTCAAGCTGGCCTAGAGATACTTAAACAAGGCGGAAACGCTGCGGTGAGCATAATTATAATAGGAAACAAAAATAATGTGGTGTAACCGTAATTATAGTTTTACACCGACTTCATCTTACCAAGGATGATTGATGAACTCAAATTTCTGTACGCGCTTTAATTGAAGTTAACTCTGCGTTTTATAGGATGCGGCCGTTGCAGTTGGTAAGCGAGAACAAAGAAAATAAATTAATTACCATTAGTTGGCATTCTCGTATTCTAACCTTGCACGTTTTATTTTGGGAACACAAAGCTGCTGCATTGAATGTGACTGGTGAGCTAAATATCACTCACATAATGACATTGGCATTATTAATTAAATTTGATTTCTTTCTCTAATTAGAACCTGCGTCCACCGGAATTGGGGGAGATTGCTTTTGTTTGTATTATGATGCAACTACAAAACATGTCAGCGCACTAAACGGATCAGGAAGGTAGAAACTACGGAATAACTTGATATGGATTAAATTCAATTCTCAGCAAAGGCTAGCTCTAACAAAGATGGACAAGGATTTTTCTTTATGTTTGGCATTTAATGAACACCAAGATACCTAACAATACATTTAAACCCATCAATCGCCCTTCTCCCTCTACAATGTACTTTTTGTATCAAGATCTCCCAAGAATCTAACGCTATCCCACGTCCGAAAATCCATTTCCGACCAAAATGCTTATCACATACCATTTACCAACATCAATGCTGTAACTGTTCCAGGTGCAGCTGCAGGATGGGTGGATACGATAGAATGGTTCGGAAGTGGACGAGTGGGTTTGACAGATATATTACGTCCGGCGATTGAGTTGGCGGAACATGGGTTTGGAGTCGCAGAGATTAGTGCCAAAATGGTAAGAAGGATTTATTAAAACAAAAACATATGCGTATGAGAAAAAGTGGTGCGCGATCATTGTAGACCAGAATGTTGATATGGAAGTATACGGATTACCATAGTTCAATCAACCTCTGCATTAAACGACTCTTTTATAGTGGCAAGAAAACGAACACCTTTTGCGCACATGCTCTGCTCATGGAGTCGATATGCTTCTTGACGGACGTGCTCCTCGTGCTGGGGAAATCATGCGAATGCCCAAGTTGGCGAGGTTTGTGTGAGATGCGATGCATAAGTTGGAGGAGAACGATATAGTGAGGTTTGAATTATGTTAGGACATTTCGCGAGCTTGCTGAGAAGGGAAAGGACGGGTTTTACAAAGGTGCGTTTTCATATTCAATTCATAAATGCTCGCTTACATTATCATCTCTTCTGGAATATAAAACATGGCGTTGGCCAATAATACAAGAGCAATAAGAATCAAGGTCGTCAAGCACTTTTGAGAGAGTAATTTTAATAGACAAGCGTTAAAAAAACTGTTAGATAATGACTACCTATAATACTCGCTTGTAGGCCGAATAGCCGAAGCAATAGTCGAACTAATCCAGTCTAAAGGCGGTGTCATGACGTTGGAGGATCTCGCAGAGCATAGCTCAACACGAGTTGAGCCCATTAGTATTGATTATAAAGGCGTCAGAGTGTGGGAGTGTCCTCCGAACGGCCAAGGTTAGTGAGAAAAAAAAAGATATCCTTTATCGCTAAGGTTACTGAGGCAAGAAACCAAGAGTATATAGAAAAGAAATATCTGGCGTGGCATTAGAAAACCATAGGAAAACGCTGTTTTATTCTATCATTTGTTATTTCTCGCAGTAATTAATTTTTTTTATTCGAAAATACTCTATGGTTTTGTTTTCTCTGTTGAAGGCCTTACTGCTCTCATGGCTCTTGGCATTCTCTCTCAACTCCAATCAAAAGGAAAGATTCCACCGCTTTCTGAAATGAGGCACAACTCGGGCGAATACCTTCATGCTATAATCGAAAGTCTACGGCTGGCCTTTGCCGACACTAGATATTATGTGAGTGATCCTGAAGTTGTGCATGTACCGGTTGAAGAATTGCTAAGTGAGGTATGAACCGGGGGGGG